TGGGGAGGGGATGGAGCCACAGGTGGCTCGGCCGGATGGGGCAGGGGCTGGCAGGGACGCTGGCTCCACACTGTTGCATGTACTCCCAGGCTGGCAGCATAGGCAATGTGTCAGAGGAAAATGGGAACACATTTGTTCTTCCAGATTTCTGTGCCCCTGGGGGTCTCAGTCCCTCGCAAGGGGGTCAAGATCCTTAGGGTGCATTTTGACAAAGGAGAAGAGATTGGTGTCATATATCTTGACTTTAAAAAAGCCTTCAATCTGGTATCCCATGATCACCTCTTAGTAAAACTGGCTAACTGTGGCCTCAACCACACCACAATCAGCTGGCTGGGGAATTGGCTCCATGGTAGGACCAAGAGGGTTGTGGTTGATGGAAGTCAATCGTCTTGGTGCTCTGTGACCAGTGGGGTCCCCCAGGACTCTGTCCTTGGGCCTATACTATTTAACATCTTCATTAATGATGTGGATATTGGTATCAGAAGCGGACTGGCCAAGTTTGCTGATGACACCAAACTCTGGGGCAAAGCATCCACACCTGAACACAGGAGGTTGATCCAGGCTGACCTTGACAAGCTCGGGAAATGGGCGGTTGAGAACCTGATGGCGTTTAACACTGAAAAATGCAAGATTCTCCACCTTGGGAGAAAAAACCTGCACCATCCTGAGAAAGGGCTACCATCCTGCAAATTTCATTGAAATCTGGCTAGAAATGACAAAGTTATAGCCTGTTTCGACCTTCCCTATTATATCCTATGGGTGAAACATTGCAACAGGGTTGAAACAGGAAAACATTTCAACGGAACGAAATGGAACAGCTATTTCGACTCAAAACAAAAGTCAAAATGAAACACCAAAATGCTGGTCAAAATGGAACACTTCCGTTTCACACAGCCCTAGTCGCCATCCTTGGAGGTGTTCAGGAGGAGTCTGGACAAGCACCTTATTGAGTTTGTTTGAGCCTAATAAGCTCCTTCCCATGGCAGGGGGCCAGACATAGATTTCATAGATTTCATAGACATTAGGACTGGAAGGGACCTCGGAAGATCATCGAATCCAGCCCCC